CTGTTCCTGTCCTGGCTCTCACCTCTTTAGGATATATACCTAGTAATGGGATTGCTGGGTCAAATGGTATCTCCAATTCCAGCTTTCTAAGGAATTGTCATACAGCTTTCCACAGTGGTTGGATCATTTCACAACTCTTTTAAGAACTATTATCCATAAAGGATCAAATTTACAATAGTAATTCACAAGATTAGAGAGGAAACTTAGGGAGTAGTGAGTTTATGATAATGAGGAAGGAACAACCCAGAAAGTGAGGGTGAGAATGGGTGCACAATTCCAGTGTAATTGATGTTACTAAATGGCAAATATAGTGTGGTAGTTAAGGTTATGTGTCAACTTGGCTGGGCCTGGTTTTGAGTGACTGGGCAGCTGGATGTAGTTATTCCCACGATGAGATTAGTATATCTACTCCATGGTGAAATCTACTGAATAGCTGCCTTAGGGGTGTGGTCTGCTTCTAATACATAAGAAGATGCTTTGAGAAAGGTCTTAAGCTTTTAGCATGTTTGAATCCTGCATGTAGCCAAGCCATTGTTCAACAGCCTGCCATGTTGCCTGCCAGCCTTGAGACTACATCTAAACTTGAACTATTGGCCTACCATGTTGCTTGATCATATTGAGACTGTGCCATTTTACTAGTCAACCTTGGGTTTGTCAGCCTCAGCAGACAACAGCTGCCTAAGCGAAGCCTGCAGCTTCAGTGGGCCGGAAGCAAGAGTCAAAGCCAAAGTACAAGATTAAGGAGCCTTCACCCAGCCCCTAGAGCTGGCACTTTGAACTCAAACTTCTAACTTCCTAAACTGTAAGAGAATAAATCTCTGTTAAAGTCATCCACTGTGGTATCTGTGTTATATAGCAGCACTAGAAAACTAAAACATATAGAAACAGCTAAAATGGTTTATGTTTTTTGCTGGGCATATTCTCAGCAACAACAAAATAAATAAAATTTAGAAAAAAATTTAAAAAGGAGTCAGAATGACACAGCAGCTTGATTCTCTTACCTCTGGATGTCGGTCCAGATCACTAAGAGTTAAACCATATTGCAAGATGAGCTGACGGGCCTGTGGGGAACCAAAAAAGAAAAAAAAAGCACCAATAATCATTTACTCTGAGCACATGGTGAGAACACTCAGAATTCCTTGGGGTTTAAATTTCAAGCACCAAGTCCTGACATGTCCCCTCCCAACTCTGGCCCACCAAGAGGTGGGAGATCTACTCCCATGAATGCCAACTGCTAATTCATCCTGAGCTGTAAGAAGGCAAACATCACACAATGAAGACTCTGGTCCAATGCGAAGCTCAGAGCTCCTCCTCAGTGACCTGGTACTTAAGTCAATGCCATGGTCTCCTACAGTGTTGGGTAATATGGTAATATAATAAATATTAAATAAACACAAGAACAAAACCCACAAAAGATTAGCAAAGTTTTTCAATTAGCATAACCCCCAAAAAAAAAACCCAAACTCAATGCCATTGAGCCATTTCCAACTTATAGCGACCACCATTGAGTTTCTGAGGCTGTAAATCTTGACGGAAGGAGATCACCCAGTCTTCCTTCCATTGAGCAGATGGTGGATTTGAAACAGTTAGCAGTCAAGTACTTTATCCACTATGCCACCAGAGCTCCTTAATTAGCATAACATCCAACAGAAAAACATTATTCTACATCCTACTTTGGTGTTCTGGTTACCTAGTGCCGCTCTGACAAGAATATACCACAGATGGGATGGTTTTAACAAACAGGAGTTTATTCTTACAATTTGGAGGCTTTAAGTCCAAGTTCAAAGTGCCAGGCTCTAGGGGCTGAGGGAAAGCCCCTAAGCCTTGGGCTTCAGCTCTGCCTCTAGCTCCCGGCCTACTGAAGCTAGAGGGTTTTCTTCACTCAGGCAGCTGCTAAGGCTGCCAAGCCAAAGGTTGACTGGTAAAAAGGCACAGTCCCGATGTTACCAAACCACACGGCAGGCCATTAATTCAAGGGCATTGTAAGTCCCAGGGTCAGCAAAGCATAGCAGGCTGCTGGACAACAACACGGCTACATGCAGAGTTCAAGGTGCCATAAGCTAGAGACCATTCCCAAGGCTTCTCCTTAAACACAGGAAGCAGACCACATCCCAAAGGCAGCTACTCAGCTGCTTGTGGTAGATCCTACCATGGAGCTGATTGCTGTACTCATCATGGGGAATAACTATTACCAGCTTCCCAGTCACTCAACCAGGCCCAGCCAAGTTGACACACAAACATAACTACCACATTTGGTGAGTAGTGACTAGGGTCTTAAAAGCTTGCAAGTGGCCATCTAGATTCAACAGTGGGTTTCTCCTTATCCAGAGCAAATAAGAATGAAGAAAACCAAAGATGCACGGAAACAATTAGTCTAAGGGACTGGTAGACCATGATATCCTCAGCCTATATCACCATGAGAATAGAACTAGATGGTGCCCAGCTACCACTGTCAACCACTTGGAGGAGAATCAGTGCAGGAGACCCTGGATAGAGTGGGAGAACAATATAGAACAAAACTCAAAATAATAAAAAAAGACGAGGTTTGCTAATCTGAAAGAGCCTGGTAAGATCCCTGAGACTATGACCCCTAGCTACCCTTCAGCTCTGAAACTGAACTCATTCCTGTGGCTTCCAGCCAAATAATAGACAGGCATATTGGCTGAACATTTATATCAGACAGATACACTACTTGGAGAGATCAATCATGGGAGAATAGAAGGGCTGTATATGCACAGAGAGACAGCTCGGGGGGCAGGAGTGCATGGGAAGGAAGAATACAGGGAAGAGGTAACTATGGGGAAGAAGTGAGAAAAGCTGTTACACTGTGGGGAGTTGCAGTCAACGTCATGAGACAAAATGTGTATGAACTGCTGTATGGAAAATGAATTTGCTCTGTAAACTTTCACCCAAATCACAATAAAAATCAAAAGGAAAAAGATTACCAAAGTTTTTTAAAAACTCCAACAATATAAAAAAAAAAAGGCTGAGGAAAACATCTATAAACTATTGTGGAATAATTTCCAAGCTATGCTGTTAAGTAAAAAATTAGCAAAGAATATATACAGGAAAAAAAGAATACAGAGGTGGGACTTCCACATTGCCTACATGAAGGGCTCAGCAAATTCTCTCACCAAAAGGCAATGATAAAACTGTGCAAAAACTCTGAGCAAGGGTAAGACAGAGGAGAGCAACAGAATGGGAAAGATTTAGGACACCTGTGAAAAAAGTTAACATTCCCTCTGAGACTATAGCCCCTAGTTACCCTTCAATCTGGAACTGAAGTCACTCCTGTGGCTTCCAGCCAAACAATAGACAGGCATATGGGGTGAACAATACATCAGGTAGGTACACTCCTTAGAGTGCTGTGGGAGAGCAGATGGGTGGTGTTTGTTCAGGGAGACAGCTTGGGGGGCAGCAGGAGTGCATAGCAAAGAAGGACGCAGAGAAGAGGTAACTACAGTAAGGAAATGGGAAAAGACCTGTTACATTGTGAAGAACTGCAGTCAATGTCATGGAACAAAATGTGTATTAACTGCTATATGAAAAACAAATTTGCTCTGCAAACTTTCACCCAAATCACCATAAAAAAATTTATTTTTAAAGTCAGCACTATTTACTTTATAGACATGCCTCAAAGTTAATCTTTTGAACAGGCTGACAAAAGGAGAGAGCAGTGGTTACCACCATCACAGGGCCCTGAGCAGGAGTCATAGTAAAGGTACTGTGGTCCTTCAAATTTGACCACTCAAGTCACAGTGGCAAGGTTTGGTGCCCATGTCATTGCTTACACTATATAGAGGAACCTAAAGATGAAAAGCTTTTTTCCAAAAGCTTGTTTGAAAAATATTTTCTGTTTAAGGTAAAATGAAAAGCACCTGACATTGAGAATCAGAAGGTCTAGGTTCTAATTTTAAATGAATGCCACATGACCCTTGGCAAGTTTTCTGATCTACAAAATAATGGGAATGGATTAAATGACCAATGCCAACCTTCTAATCCCAAATCTGAGAATAAAACACAAGACCTTGAAATGTACAGTGTATGGATTTTATTTGTATTCAAACTGCAAAAAAGTATTTTAAAAGGATAAGACAGTGGCCCTACGACACCCTTTTTACCTAGAACTGAAGTCAGTCTTAGAGACTACCTTTCAGCCAAATAATAAGCCCATAATCAAACACCAAAGATAGGAACGTGTTCAGCTGAACAATGAAGTGTATGAGATCAAAAGGACATTTGCCCAAAAGTAAAGATGAGAAGGCAGGAAGAGGTAGAAAATTCAGAGGAAAGAAGGAACCCAGGGCAGAAACCGGGAGAGTGTTAACACACTGTGCGTAATGTAACCAATGCCATGGAACATTTTATGTGCAAACTATCAACAGGAAAGTATTTTGTTCTGTAAGCTTTCACTTAAAGCACAATAAAATGAAGCTGGGTGACTGGATACACAGGAGTTCATTAAGTTGTTGTTTATTCTTTTCTGAATTTGAAATTTTCCTTAAATTTTAACAAAATGCTGACAAAAAAAGCATGTTCAAATTAATAATATTAACATTAAGATTTTGATTCTCACTAAAGCAAAATATATAATGAAGTAGAGAAAGACACCGCATCAAAAATGGTTTTGCTGGAATACTTTTCAGTTCCTAGATTTCTCAATAGTACTAAAGAGATCATCCTCTAATTCCAGACTCTACGAAGACCTGATAGTGCCTCCAGGATGGCCCCCAATGACCTCCACACCTCCTAGTCTTCGTGGCTTTGTACAATCGCCTCACATAGGGTTAGTCTGGATGACCAATGGCACCCAGCAGAAGCCGTGGTACTTACACTCTGAGATGCAAATGTGGCATCACCCTGGGGCGGGGAGAGAGGCAGAATGGGCATACACATGCCCCATTTGCAGACACTCTCTGATCACTCATTCTAGGAGAAACCAGCCACCCTGTTCTGAGCCCAGATAGCCCTAAGAAAAGGTCTATGTGGTGACTGAGTGAGGCCTCAAGCACAAATGCCTATGCAGAGCTGAGGCCTCAAAACAAGCATGTGACTGGGCTTGGAAGTAGATTCTCAACTTCAGTCGTCTTGGGATGTCTTCAGCTGTGGCCAACAGCTTAACTGCAACCTCATGGGAGGCCCAAAGCCAGAACCACTCAGCTAAGCTTTCACCAGACTCCTGATCCCCAGAGACTATGTGAGATAAAATGTTTGTTATTTTAAGTCATTAAATTTTGGGATAATTTGTTCTACAGAAACAGATATGTAATATAGAAGGTGTTCGAAAAATTATGTAAACTGCATGAAGCTTACTGTGATATTCTAAAGAGATTAATAAAACTGTGAAATGTACTGATTTCCCATTAATTTTGTATATTTCAGAAAACAATACTGAACTGTGTTTATACTTATTACATAAGAATTTGATGTCAAAAAAGTTATAACATGATTTCTATGAAAAATTCTATGCAAATATGTCATTAAAAGTAACATAACATTTCTTAAGAAGCTCTGGTGGCGTAGTGCCTAAGGCATCTGACTGTCAACCAGTAGGCTGATGGTTCAAACCCACCAGCCACTCCTCGGAAGGAAGACTGGGCAATCTACTTCTGTAAGACAGGTTCAAGGAGTACTTGCATTACCTGGCAGTACAACTGTTTCTTAAAGATACTCTATTTACCCATTTACCTTATAACCCAAAGTGTGGAGAATACATTTTACATTCTCTTTTAACCTTCTGCACCCATACAAACCAGAATTGTTGTCATCCAGTTGATTCCAACTCATAGCAATCCCATATGTTACAGAGAAGAACTGTTCCATTGGGTTTTCTTGGTCGTGACCTTTTACAGAAGCATAGTACCAGACTTTTCTTCTGCAATGCCATGGGTGGGTTTGAGCCACCAACCTTTAGCTCAGTAGGGGAGCACAAACTGTTTATACTACCCAGGGATAACCTTCTGCACTTAGCATTACAGTGAGCCAACAAGTGGGTAAATAAGCAATCACTTGACTTCAATTTGGAAGGAGGCCCCTAGTACAACCCCATTTTAAGGAAGGAATGGATATCCAAAGAGGTTGCACAGTGAGGAGTTAAGGGCACAGCTAGGACCAGAAATAAAGTCTCCTAGTTTCCTGTCCCACCTAACCCTAGGAAAAGAATTAGAAGAAAAGGAAAAGAGGAAATGGTGGAAGAAAAAGAAAATGGAATCAAAGTCATCTTAAACAATAATGCTATTAATAATAATTTTAAAGGTTCTTTGAGGTCTTTCCACTTCCTCCTCTACCTGAAGTGCCCTGCCTTCTCCCAAGTTCTAGTGCCTTCTGACTATCTTAAATGCCATCCTCTCCAGGAAGCCTTCCTCAAACACGTGGGCAAGAAGTAGGCTCTCCAAAGAAGAATGAAGAAAATCAAAGATTCATGGAAAGAATTAGTCCAAGTGACTGGTAAACCATGCGATCCTCAGCCTATAAGACTATGAGACCAGATGGTGCCCGGCTACCACTGTCAACCACTCAGAGGGGAATCTATGTAGGAGATCCTGGATAGAGAGGGAGAACAATGTGGAATAAAACTCAAAATCATTTGGAAAAAAAAAAGGGGGGGACCAGGTTTGCTGGTCTGATAGAGCCTGATGGAACCACTGAGACTATGGCCCCTAGCTGTACTTCAGGTCTGGAATTGAACCCACACCTGTGGCTTTCAGCCAAACAAAAGACAGGCATATGAGTTGAACATTTACCTGAGGTAGATACATTCCTTGAAGAGAACAATCATGAGAGAAAGAAGGGCTGTTTATG